TCACCAAATGTGGGTTCTCCAGAAACCACTGAGCATTAGGTTAATTACCAGCCCTAGCTGCTTAGAGTAGGTAGGCATGCAATTAAAACAAGACATACCAAAGCTAACAAAAGAGACAATATTTTTCTAGTTGAAAATCAAGTTTTCCAGCTCAGCATTGGACGTTTTCACATGAAAATGTCCAAAGCTGCCTGGAGCCATTCCGGAAGGGATCCTTCCGCTCATTCCGGAACAGCTCCGGAGGCAGCAACCTAATTCCTTTTTTAAAAAGGAATTACAACTCCGGGGCTGATGCCGGAGTTAGAGCTAAAAGGGGCGGGGCTTGCTGCGACGTCATGTGAACACGCGCAGCAAGACCCGGACTGACGCCGGTTAGCGCTGGGGATGGCGCTAGATGAGGCGGGGCTTGCTGTGACGTTGTCTGAAAAATTTGTCAATGGAGCCGGAGTGGGGCCGGACGGAGGTAGGCTAGCGTCCGCCTAAAGCCCCGTGTGAAAACGCCCATTGAATGACTAGATGATGGTGATAACAACAGCAACATTCATTCCTTACTATCCTCTCCTCAAAGCATGAGGCATGGTATAACACAGAATCAAACACATACAGTTATTTAAATACTGTTGAAACACTGTTAAAAGACATAAACATAGGACACATTAAAATCATCCAACATAAATTAAAATATCCTAATTTACATAGATACATAGACAGGTGATTCCCAAGGAGATGCTCTTATTTTGAAATTCTTTCCCTTTGTCCCAAGAAGAGAGCTCATGCCCTCAGATTCATAACCAGCGCCTGAGACTTGGGAAACCTATATCTTGCCCCTGTTTGTCATTGTATCCTAACCGGAAATAACAGCACATTTCTTTCAAATCTCCAAATTCAGTTGTCTTACAATGTGAGGACAAAGCATTGTGATGGACAGCAGAGCCAGAAGACCTACCTAGTCTGTAGATTATCAAAGGTAAGAACTGATCAGCATATATTTCAACAAAACGAAAGTAGGAGACAGGGTCCATGGGGTGATAGGTGGTCAATGCTTTATTTTCTTTTTACTTTAAAAAGATCAACATGTTTTGGGTACTGTCAAAACTGTCCTTCTTCAAGGGCTACACTGAAAAATAAAAATAAAATTCCATTACATATGGCAACCTGGGGCACATTTATTCTATACTATAGAGACAATGCAGTTTGACACCAGTTTAAGTGCTGTAGCTCCATCCTAGGGAATCCTGGGATTGGTAGTTTAATAATATCATTACTCTTTTCTACCAAATCTTTCTGGTGCTTCACAACTGTAGGATGGAGCCATGGCAGTTTGGTATCAAACTGTATTATTTTTACAGTGTAGATGCACCTCTAGACAACACAAAATCAGTTGTCTTTACAGACATATAAAATATACTGATCAACATGTAAATGTATAGTTTTTATATATACTCTGTACCACAACCTGTAGAGCAGGGGTAGGCAACCTTTCCCCTTAAAGGGCCGAGGGACTTCAGCTCCCAGAAGCCTCAGCCATGTTGGCCAATAGTCCCATGTTGGCCAATAGCTCCTGGGATTCTGGGAGCTGAAGTCCCTCGGCCCTTTAAGGGGAAAGGTTGCCTACCCCTGCTGTAGATTGTTGGGAATGGGGATAGAAAAATGAAAGAGTTGGCCCAGGGGTAGGCAACCTTTCCCCTTTAAGGGCCGAGGGACTTCAGCTCCCAGAATCCAAGGAGCTATTGGCCAACATGGCTGAGGCTTCTGGGAGCGGAAGTCCCTCGGCCCTTAAAGGGGAAAGGTTGCCTACCCCTGACTTGGCCATTTAACCTCCGGAAGTGGAAGATGGAAGTGAACAAACAGGGCAGGTGGAGTGAGCAGTTCAAACAGAGTTAGAAACAGACATGTGATTTAACACAATGAAATCCTGGGTTTTGTAGTTTGTTGTAGCACCAAACCTCTCTGAGACAGAAGGCAAAATCTACACACCCCATGAGTCATGGCAATTAAAGCAGTGTCAAACTGAATTAATTCTGCATTGTAGATGCAGCCTGAACATACTATGTCAGCTTTGTGCTGAAGAAGCTTTGCAATAATAAAAAATTAAAATTAAAATGAGTCCTTGCAGTTATTTAACTTCTGCCTAAGTTGTTTCATTTGTGGGATTGCCTGTGTCACAGCCATGTACCAAGACAAACTCTGAAAAGTTGTACTGTAATCTTTTACCAGCTGTGTATCATCAACTACTGTATTTTCTGGTGTATAAGACTACTTTTTAATCCAGGAAAATCTTCTCCAAAGTCAGGGGTTGTCTTATTCACTGGGTGGAGGAGGAGGAGGAGGAAGAAGGGGTGGCGTGGCGCAAGGCGGGAGGATGAAGCAGCAGTGGATAAGAGGTAAACTCATCTCCTGGGGTTTTTTTTGGCAAGACTGGTTCAGAGGAGGTTTGCCATTG